GGTTGGGGTTCTTAATGATGTTCTTAATGATGTTATGTTCAATTTAGACCATTTGTTTCATTTGTTTGCAAGGACCACAATGGAAACTACTGGTTCACCAGTAATTGTGTAATCCTATAAAAAGACTTTTTTTTTTTTTCTTTAAACCTCACTCACAAGAACAAATCTTGGAACCAAAAATAAGTTCCTGTTGCTGTTTGTAGTTTAGTATCCTTATGTCTGATTGGCTTTTTTCTCCCCCTCAGAACACAATAATGTTCTGGTATTAGCAGTAGGTGTTATTACTTTCACAGAAAACTTAAACTCAATTTACAAACATTATGAATACAATAGGTGGCCAATGGAAAGAGGTCATGGTGATTCAATTTATTTGAAGCTTTGGGAGAGGAACCATTGCAACCACCGTGATTACCAAAATCTGGCCAAGAATGGAGCACAGTCTTTTGAAGCAAACTCCAAACTTATCAGAAGCATGGCCAGAGACCCAAAGCTTGATCAGCCTGCATTGGTATTCTACTCGTTCATCGGAAATGATGTTTGTCAAGCTGTTCCCAATCTGAATAACATTACTACGCCTGAGCAGATGCATAAAAATGTTCTGGAAACTCTGAATGGTCTGGATAAGCATTTGCCAAATGGGAGTCATGTAATTTTGATTGGTTTGGTGGATGGTCGAATCCTTTATGACAGTCTCCATAACCGGATACACCCAATAGGCCGCCTAAGGCATGAGGTGACATATGAACATTTCTATGACTTGTTGAACTGTCTACAAGTTTCCCCCTGCTTTGGTTACATGAATTCCAATGAGACCATCAGGAATAAAACAAGTGAAAGAGCAGCCCAGTTGAGTGCAGTGTTGAAACATGTGGCTGAAACCTCAAAGTATGAAAACTTTGATGTGTTCTACTTTGACTTTCCCTTAGAAGAGGTCATCAAGGTATGTCATCATGATGTAAAAAAATGTCTGTTTATGAGCCAAGTGGCCCAACAGATTGGCACTTCACTCCAGTTTCTGTAGCATGGAGCAACCAGGAGTATTTCTACTACTGAATACTAAATAAAAAATGTGCACTGATGTAAACACAGCTGTTTTAAGAAACGTTGTCAGAAAAAAGGTCAAAGGTGTTTGTGACAATCTCAAAATGTATGTATGTAATCAAGGTATCTGGTAATCAATGAATTTTACTATGTGAAATAAGAAAATAAATTTCTCAGTTCTGTTATGCTCTGTCCTCATGTCACAGCTAGGCTTTCCCAGATTTTTCTGAAATCCTGAGGTCAAGCATCCGACCTGAAAACCATACACAATACCTTTCTGGGTACCAGAGGCAATTTTTTTCTGACAACCTTTCACGAAACAGCTGTGTACAAATTCCACAAGTTCCACCCTTGGAAAAATAGCTCAGGATCTGCAAAGTTCTGTGCAGCCGAGTTTGATAGAGATGAAACTCCAGCAGTTAAAAGAGACATTAGTATATTTAGCTAGATCCAGTTTTGACTAACAGTTGTAACTTCTGATTTACTGTTCCCTCCACACATTATGTTTGTTAATGAGATCTTATGAAATTAATTCAATTTTTTTTCTTAAGCTTCCTTTTTTTTCTTTTTTGGCAACAGGAGTGGAAAGCAAAGGGCCATCCAGTTTATGAATTAATTGAGCCTGTGGATGGTTTTCACCCAAATTTGAAAGCAGAAGCTCTGGCAGCTGATGCCTTGTGGAGAATCCTTGAGTCCAAAGTTCCACATGTCTTAGGGAAGGTCAACCCTTACAAGGATATAATAAGACTGTTGTTTGGAGATCAAGGAGGATATTAAGAGAGATGGCAGTTTTTTTGAAGTGATTTTTTACATCTTTTTTTAAAACTCTTAATAAAAAGTTAAAAAATTAATCGAAAAAATTTTTAAAAAGGTAAATTTAGGCTGGAGAATTATGAAATTTTGAATTGTGAAAATATGATTTATTTCATTGAATGATTTATTTCATTGTTGATTTAAATTATCGTTGTTATACTGCCAAAGTACTGCTTCTTTGAAATAGCAAAGCTTTGATTTTTAGAGTTTCTTTTTAATTAATTTACATTACACGAGTAATGTAAACAAGTATTTATTCAATAAATCTGAATTAAGTCACCGTGAGTCTTATTTTTTTCACTTTTACAACTCACAAACTTTATGGTCTGATTATTTAAACAAAGTTTAGCTATTGTTTACCAAAACCATACCTTGTTCTGCTTTGCCTTTTGAGTAGACCTGCGAGCTACAGTCACGCCGAACGACCTTAAAATCAACTCAGAAAACTCACAAAGAAAGAATATAACCGTACACTAGCAAGAAGGGTTTTTTTTTGTGTACTTAATAATACTTCTTACAAATCCCATCATTTCGCCAGGTGCCTTACGTCAGTGACATATTTGAGAAGGCTCTGTGCACGGCTCTGTGCTATTAGTTTTCGGGGTCTGGGTCTTAGTTTTCGTATCAACCAAGAGCAAAGAAGTATTTTCATGAATTGTTTATTTATGGTTCAACTGTAAACCAGAGCACCAGAGCACAGGCCTTGTCAAAGCCGAGCAGCTATTTTCAGATAGTCAACCTTTGTTGTCGATCACATGAATCTCATGAATTTCATAAGGTACCTGCAATAGTATGATTCTGTTTTAAATGCCATGTGATATGCACGAGATGGGCGCAAAGGTGAACAGCGTTCGGCGTATCTCGCGATGGGCCCTTCAGAACCCATCATACACGTACGAAGTTGAAAGTTTAATTTTGAAAACCAGGCTTCGCTTCTCGGCCAAATATTCATTTTTCGGACAATCTCTCAGCCGTGGACATTATCAGCCGACATACCAGCCGCCCGAAGGGGTTTATTAACTAAATATTCACCTCACCTTCGGCGAATAATTGTTAAACATGACAATAATCAAAGTTTGATATGATTATTATTATTATAATTGTTATTCTAAATTTTGCATCATATGAGTTGAGCTGAGAAAGACAAAGTAAACAATGAAAACAGTATCACTCTTAGAAATATTTCCCAGCCTGAGCTCAATTTTACTTTTTTGTCATAACGACTTTTTGAACAATATGATTCTTTCGCATCTTAAGCAAAACTTGCGTTAAGTACCAGTTGTCAGAAACAACCCCATGTTTTCATAATTATTTTTTCCAGTGTAGCCGTGATTTCCAGAGCGAAATAGACCAAAATCTCTCGAAGCATTTAGTAACTCGAGTGGTCAGGCGACTGATAAAACGCGACCGACCCTCTCGAAATATCTGGCTCATTAAGCTGTGCAAATTTATGGCGCTTCAGAAAAAAAAAAACAAGAACAAAAAGTAGGAAACAAACAAAGAAACGTTTCTTGCCCCGATTAAGTTTATTTACGCGAAGATGATAATTTATACACTGAAAAAAAATAAAAATTTAAATCCGCCTATCACTGATTTTCCCCCAACAAGTTTACATCCTATGGATCGTCTGATAATTCAGTTTCTTAAGTGCACTACGAAATAGCTTGTCGATGTTGGATTCTAGCAGACTGTGGAAGAAGTATTTCAGGGATATGAAATACCCACCCAACATATGAAATTAAAGCCAGAGTCCTTATCCTTTAAATATATTGAATATGAGAAATTATCTTGAATCGACTTCAATCGTCTCAATGATGTTGATTCAATCCAACTGAGTTGGGAGATTAGAGCGGTTTCTAACTGAAATATGTAACACCGAAACCAACTTAAAAGTTGAAAAGAGAGTGGCGCGAATGTTCCAATCCAATCACAGGACGAAGTCAAACCGATACGGCCCCAGAATTACTGACACTCAACTGATAATTTCTCTGGGTTAGTTGACCTCTTGCTTAATATCTTTTCATGGACTAGTCCTTTCAGCATCTCTGCGTCGTTGCGCTCGTGATCCTCTCGACGTTACGCGTCGTTCGAAACACTCAGAAATAATCAGAAGGTCTTCAAGGCAATAAGACATGTATGTCACGGTACTAAAAGTTCCTACGCAAATTACGTGCAAACAAACACTGCTGGTTCGATAAAGGCTTGTAACTTTACGGGGTTTAGAATATCGTGATTAGCGCCATGTAGTCAGTCATCGTAAAGAGCTAAGGAGCTAAAAACCAACGGTCATAAATTACCTTGAAACAACAGACAAGCTGCAGGTTGAGTGAAAAATACAAAATTCACGCCGAATGTTCGATCAGTCGTTGGTTGCTGGACAATCTGGAGAGGAATCTAGTGGAAACAAGCCTCTGACATCTTTAGGGTCATACCGCGGCTGGCAACAGCAAGCTGTGCTGCAACTTGGTGCACATGAACTGGGACACGATCCTGGGCATGTCTGTCCTGAGGGAGCAGGTAGGATAGATGGCAATAAAGGTGGAGGTGGGGCCAGCATGGCTGTTGGGGAGCAACAAGCTGGGCTGCATTGTGGATAACAAGATGCTGAGCAGGGTGTAGGGCATGTTGAAGCCTGCAGCGGTCGAGGAGGACGTAGTGGGGGATTAGGCGGAGGTTGAGGTGGCTGAGGGGTAGCCAACTTTGTCGACGGGGAGCAACAAGTTGGATTACACTGAGGGGAGCACGATGCTGGGCAAGGTGCAGGACATGTGGACGGCTGTGGAGCGGTCGGAGGCTCGAGGATGATTATGGGAGGAGGTTGTGCTTGAGGTTGTAATTGTTGCTGTGCTCCTGCGCAGCACTGTGGAGTGCAAGACGGTAGACAGGAAGCTGAGCAAGTACCTGGACATTGAGGGACAGGAAGAGGAAGTGGAATAACTATCGGAGGCACGGGTGACGGGGCAAGGAGGGGAGGCGGTGGTGGCTGCATTTGGAAAGGGGAAATCTGGGGAGAACCACAACACTGAGAAGAACATTTGGGAAAACAAGCTTGTGAACATCCGACTTGAGCGCACTGCCTAATAGGAGGAGGCATTGCCAGCGGTTGATAAAGTTGTGAATATGCTGGTGACTGCTGACAACATGACTGTGAACACTGTGGATAGCAAGACGTCGGGCAGCTGGTTGGACAGGCTGGTGGCATGGGAGGAGGACGAGGAGGCGTTGATATCGGTGGAGCTATCAGATGAGCTGGCTTTGGCTTACAGCAGCTAGGGCTGCAGTCTGGATAACAAGTCTTTGGGCAGTATGAGGCACACGATACGACAGGAACAGTTAGGCGAGGCGTAGGTGGTGGAGCCAAAACAGGAATGGGTGCCGGTATACAGCAGGTAAAGTCACAATCTGGAGTGCATCTGTGCTGACAACTCCTCCGACAGTTTTCTTATGAGTAAAAAAATCAATGGTTAAAAAGGAATCAAGGCTTATTCATTCAAGTTTGGGAGTTAATATGTTTCACAGAAGCATTACGCAAACGCTCTAAACATGAGATCCTATTAGTTTCTGCTTTATCGTGGGACAGGAGGCGCGAGATTTTGTCATGTTTGTGCCTTACTTTAAAACGCCAAGTTATGAGATTAAGAGAGCAAGTTTTTCAAGAGAAAGGGCGAATATTATTTATTCCCTTTCGTAAGGACCTAACGTCTAAACAAATTCAATCCCAATTTTAAGTCTTCCACAAGAATGGCGACCTACACGACTCCTGTCAGAAACAAGTTTGAAGAAAATCTGTACGATAACGTTTTTCAAGAAAATATGAAAACATTTTCTGATCGGTTTTGCATCACTGTCCTTTCTCGGTGACTTACGAAATCTTTTCAAACAATCCGTAGATGTGAGACAAACCCCAATCGCGACTTCCAATCGAGTCTTCCTGCGTTACTTGTAGAAAGTTAAATGTTTTTGCTTTGAGATCCCATTGGATCCATGATGCACTAACCTTCCGTCTGATTGGTTGTAGTGTGATTCATTTTGAATTTTTTCTGGGACAGTTAAACGAACTGATTATGTGAAGTTTAAAATATGGTGTTCTTTGTTTTGAAAACATTATTTTTTATGGCTAGAGCAAACTTGCAAAGTACTCACTATTTCTGGCAGTTTGTACTCGTTGTTTGTGTGCGACGTTGCTCCGCTGAAACGGGTAGCTAACGATTGCTGGTGTTTGAGGATAATAAACAAATTGCCTTTTCATTGGAGCCTTTTTACCTGTGAAAGATACTTCATTAGTTTATGATTAATCGTTTCATACACCTCTTTCGCAATAAAGTAACAATGAAATTACACCAAATGTAATGATACTGGAGTAGTTGTTTACGATAACCATACATTCTATTTATCAAAATCCTCATTATCATCGTCATTTTTATCATTATGGTTTGTCACCAATAAATGCTTCACATCACAAAGATAGTTTTATTTTTTTTGCATATTGCGTACCAGTCTGAAGCAATCATATGGCTCAATCTGTCCTTTATCTCTATCAGCTTTGATAGGTGACATGGGGCTTTGCCCTTAGCTTCTTTTAACATTTGATTGACTCGGAAACATATCTTTTTAAGAAAACAAGTGAGGTGATCATGATGAACTAGTGTGTAGACCAAAAGACTCAATTACAGCGCGCCTAACAATTTATGAAATGGCGATGCAGATTTTATTTTACCTCTAATCTTATTAGCTTTTCCTTTATGAATTGGGTTTCCATCCCCTTGCATTAACAGAGAAGGAAGGAGGCACAGGGTCCAAATACAGGATAGCTTTCTTTGCATCTCGTGGCACTTGAGTAAGTAAAAAAAGTAAGTAAAGTAAGGGTTAGGAGCATCTGAGCTCGTTAAAACACTTGCGTGAACATAAAATAATATTAAATATATAAAGAAGAGTTCTGTCTGACGGGCGCTTAGGCGCGAAGCTCAGAGTCACAGAAAACCGATGCGTCCTCTTTAATTCTCAGTTAACTTACGTATACTTAGCTCTGCTACCACAGCATTGAACACTTTATGCCAAGGTAGACTCTACCCCCACATTTATATCTATATATGTATATGTATGCAAAAACCATAAAGTTCTTTTTTTATGTCATTAACGATTATTCCATAGTAACAATACCAGATATAGAATAGCATAATATTGGAATCAAAGCGTCGTGTTGATATTGAAAATAACCCTAAGAGGACTTAATGAAAAGGAGAATTTGGTAAGGCTGATTTGCTAAGCAGAAAATGTTCTTGGGCTGCAGACTTACAACTCACATACCGTAAATTCTTAATTTCCAGTTTTCTTACTTCGTTGTAGACTTCAGCAACCTAAGATAGCAAGATTTAAGAAAAAAAGAATTCGAACACAGTGCTTTTGCACACGCAAGACTTATGCATTACGTATCATTTTTTTTTTCTCAAACGTCCGTCGTTTTATCTGATTCATTTACCAGAAACGTAATGCCTGAGCTCTTTGCTCGTCTGTTATGGCTTTTAATTTCATCTCAGCTAAGATCTGGATGGTCTAGAATTTGTAAGAGGTAGTTCAAAGTTTCACGGTATGGATGTGAATAGAAGAGAGAAGTTATTTGAGACATGGACACTATTTACAGAAACCTTTACCTTCATTTCCAATGACTTAATCGGTCACACTTCTTCGGATAGATGGTGACAAAATTCAGTCTGGGTGCTTGTTGAGTTTGTTAAGCTCAAATGGCAAACTCTGCCGTAAGTGTCTTCCGGGAAAAAGATATACAGTCTCTATGACGTTTTTAGATTTACTAAGATGAGCTTGTTACCAAGTTTCTGAGGTGTCTTGTTGAAAATAACATTAGAAAATAGCCGGATACATTATTTTCGGTTCCTCGAGCCAGATTTGAGCGGGTTAAGTATGCAATAGATACCGTTGTACCCAGAAATGGTCATACAGTGCTGGGATATGTTTATGTATCACAACGAGACCAGCGAATGACCGGTGGTAACGACAGAACAAGCTAATCACTAGTCAATTCACTTGGTAAGACATGCTTTGAATACAGGTGTTGTTATTCAGTGTGGAGGTGCGTCGGAATTCAGTCAATAACCGCAGGATATTTTCACCTGTTTTCTAACAAAGACCCTTAATTTCACCGTTAGACTCAACACTATGGTTTTAAAGGTTCTGCTAAGATATTCTTCCTATGGCCTTGAGAAGGAACTAATTACGACTTTGTCTTTACCGCACGACTAAACGAGTTTTCTTCCTTTCGATCTTCGATTCATCACCGCTTCGATAATATTTAAAATTTAGTAGTCAAAACAAAACGAATTGAAACAACTTTTCATTTTACTCGCACATTTTTTCGCGGCCAAAATTCTGATCAAGTTAGACAAAATGATTGTAAGATAATTTTCCTTTCACTTTGGAGTGGTCGGTTTCATATGCACTCAAAGGTTATTAAAGGCTTTTTTTTTTCGCTAAAAATTAACGAAAAATCTTAATTTCCTTCCCAAAGGCGAATTCATCGTGAAGCGAAAAATATAGCAGCTTATAGATAAAACCTACCTCTTCTCGAGTGCCATAAACGTTTTATATTTCCTGGCTGTCTATAAAAGGGTCATCGATTAGAAAATCGGGCAAGAAAGAAAAGGACACTATAAATTATTGATACTGTGCGTGCACACTCGCTGCGTGGCGGGTTTGATGTCAATCTAACAGAGTGTAAAACGCCGGGTAGAACACTACAACACCTGTGACATTTTCTAAATGAAATTGTCTTTTTTTCATTTGCATCTCATTTTTCATATGCATTATGAAATACTTATACACATCATTCCTACTCACTGCCTATCTTTTACGGCTGTTGTTCAGAACACTTGCTGGTTGATGGAGCGGTAATGTCAACATCACCATGGCAACTGCATACCGCTCGAGCCCCTTCAAAATTGACAGTTGTCATACAGACGGCTTCTGCCACGGTAATTTCTTAAATTTCTTATCCCATTTTCACGGTTTTGTTTTGTTCATTTTTGAGGTTCTTCTAATAAGTTGTTCATCAACTACGCCCGATAAGCTCAATTGGTTAGAGCGCTGGACTGTTGTGCGGGAAGTCGAGGTCGATGGTTCGATCCCCGGCCGGACCAACACTGAAGGTCTTAAAATAACTGAGGAGAATGCGCTACCTTTCTATGATAGCAAGAAATGGATAGACATTCTAGTCTTCTCGGATAAGGACGAATAAACCGTAGGTTCCGTCTCCTGCATCTATTAATTAGTTAATATGGTTAGGCAGGGGACGTTAAAGAACCCACTCACGAGATTACTGTGATGTGGTCTGGCCTGTTTAGTGGGTATTGAGGGGAGGGGGCATCTTCAAATAAGTTTCCTTCCATTGTTTCTAAACTGCTGATGCAGTCCGGCCGACGTCCCCCGAAAAGTGTTGTGATGCATGATGCGCATTTGATCATCCACATGTTAATTTGCGCAATATAAATGTTAAATTATTATTACTACTACTATTATTATTATTATTATTATTATTATTATTATGAGTTTTTAGTCGACTAGAGAAATATATTTTTGGTACAGTTCAAAATGACCATTCTGGTTCGCAAATTTGAGTTAGAACTTATCCAAGCTATGATCCGTTCGGGTCTGCAGTCAGGGACAGAACTATTGAGACATCATGCATCATCAGTTGGCAAATTCCTATTGAAATTTCTAGTTTTCCTTTGCCTGTCCTCCCCAAACATGTCAATGGTGCCAAGCTGGTCCATGATACATAATTCTATACGCTTAAGGGGTATGGGCCACAAGAACAATGTTTGGAAGCAGTATAATTTCCTCTAAAAAAGTTTTGTCCATAATTTCAGCTACATTTGTAAGTTTGACCTTAGGAAATGTTTACAGGAGCTACATTTGCGCTGGTGTCATAGGATTCCAATACAGGTTGGGAATTTAATCGCCCTAAGCTTGTTGCTAATTGAGAGAATGTAGTGGCATATGAGATTGGAGTGATGGGTCAAAAGCTTCTGAAGGCATAGACAATGCGATTGCTACAGCAATCGATTACAAAATCCCCCTTTCAAGAAGCACTTTCAAGGTTACTACAAGTAAATTTGGTTTTATCAGCTGAGTTGATAATGTAAATTGGCCACAGTGAAGAGTTTACAAGCTGACGTTTCGAGCGTTAGCCCTTTGTCAGAGCGGTACTACAAGTAGTTCACGACTTACAATATCAACCATGGAAGAAAAGAAGCTGAAACATCTCAGTAATCTATTTATATTTATAGCTATGACGTTATAACACTGCATAACACTAAAATTTTTGCTGCGCACTTTATTCCCACCATCGATCAAGAAAAGAACTATCTTAAATATCTGACCCGGTATGGTTTTCGATATGGTTTCATTCCTGAGCCAACCGAAGGTAACCTCCGTTGCCATGCAACCTACTGTTAGCAACCAGAAGGTACATGTAACATAGAAGCATGCCATCCACATATTTTTTTTAAAAAGGGGCTGTGTTGTGTGAAAAAAGAAGTTAAAGATATTTACAATGCGGTTTTGTTGCAGTTACAGCTAATCGCTGTACACGATTACCAGATTATGACCTAATTTTATATTCTTAGTGTCTCGATTTGTACGATTATTACCTTTCATCATAACCTTAGAACAGATGTCACTCAGTAGGCAACAACGACAGACAATTTTACTTGAGGGAAATTATGCTACACTGAGCACTAAAAATACTTCACTCCAAATATTTCTGGACAAATGTTCGGTGTTTGTATCTAATTCAAAGCTTAGCCCTTTACGAAACGACCCACGAGTATTCAGTTTAAAAATTTTCGATCTTTCTTTAATTCGGCACAATCCTATAGCTTTTGGCGATAAAATGACCTTATGGTTTACTTTTTGTCTTTAGACACATGATAAAAGCAACGGTTGTCAAATAAAGATACAATGATTAGCTCCCGCCCAGGGTAGCCCTCTTGTCCCAAGTCAGCGGCAGGAGAGGCAATCCTGCGCAGCAACTTCGCGAGCAGAGAGGCGCGCATGTGTCTGGGCAAGACGGCGCTGGACAGGTTTGTTGCGCAGTTACGGGTTCCGCTGGACGAAGGCCTGGCGAACTTGGTGCCCTAAAATCTTGGGAAACATCCTATAGGAGAAAACAAGATACAATTTTTTAGCAGTAAATTAGTGAGTGGGTCTCAACGGGGCTAACCGATAGCCGTAAAGCGATGAAAAAAAAAAAAAAAATTAGCCGTTAGGCGTTAAAACTAACAAATTTTAACCGATAGTCATAAGAAAAGTTAACCGTAAAAAAAGAATTATCGTGACGACATCGGAATGATGTTAACTGTTAGTCGTAAAATGGCTAAAATTTTAACCGTTAGCTGTGAAGGCCATCACCCCATTGAGACACTCTACTAAGTGATAGGAAAATTCAAGATGCTCATTACACCAGGAGAGAAGATCTCTGTGTGGGATCAACGTTAAAACCGAATGAATAGAAGCACGCTTGCCAAGCGCGATCTCTTTTTTTTTATTTTTTTTTTAACCATAAGTAAAAAATTGTTTTCCGCCAATGAAACATCGTACATGCTTTTTAAGATGAACAGTCTTAGCTGGGTCTTGCTTTATATCTCTAGCCAGATAGTTGGGTGATTGGTTTTTTACCACGTCTACATGCGCACTAACGTGTTCGATTCATCGATGATTTTGAATTCTGATTGAAACATCGACTGATAAACTAATTGCTCACCAAGGGGTTGGCTGGCACAGTCCCGTAAGGGAAAGCTTGAGGAGCCACCTGAGCAGGCTGTGCTTGGAATGAGGAACAACATGACCACTGACACGAAGGAGCGCAGGCCAAAGGACACGATCCTGGACAAGTGATTCCTTGAAAAAAATTAAATCAATTAAGCCTTGTTATAATCACAGGACTGGGATCTGCTTGATGGGAAGAAGTTTCTGTTGCTTGTTATCGCCGGCCTAAGAAGGCAATGTCGCTTGACTTGTTTACTCTGACTTTTTCAAAGGAAACATTGTATACAGTGATGTAATATACAAACACCCTCGACTGGAGCTTTGCTTGCTTTTCCTCCCACGCTCCTGGGCTAAAAGATTAGTTTGTGAGCAAATTCGCCTAAAGTTCACTTCTATGCACGCCAAAATCGTAGTATAATTTGGCTTAAAGAGGACCCCTTGATCGCCATCCTTCTCTTGACACTTTTCAGCTCTAACGTTAACACTGCTTTGCTACTTACCTGTTGTGGGTGCCACAGGAGCTACAGCTTCCTGATACGGAAAACCCTCATAAGGTGACGGCTGAGGTGACTGCTGCTGGGCATCCTGTGTAGGCCCTTGTGATGGATTTTCCAATGCGAATAGTTTGGGGACGGGTACCCTCTGGGGCGAGGCGACGGGTGTAATGTCATGATGTACCATGGGTTTAGGAGGCTCCTGTGGCTTGGAGGAAGAAGGTTTGTGATCCGATTGCTTCTTGTGGAATTTATGTGTAGCCAAACAGCAATCGAATCTGTGAAAAGGTACAAAAAATAATTGACAACCAGATTTATTTCTGCTATGTGGAGGTGTACATTAATAAATTTAAATTTTAAATTTATTCCATTTCACTGGATATTACATAGGAAAAAGAAAAACAAAAGAACACACAATAATAACAAATTGGATTACATAACAAGGCAGTGGGGAAGACTAGAAGGGAACTGACGAACCATACGTGCTAGTCAATCCATTATGAAGAAAATATACGGATATATAAGAACTTAATTAAGGTATGTAACTAGCTAGCTGCTAACTACCTAACTGAGTAATCTAACTAACTAACTAACTCACTAACTAACTAACTAAAAACCTTACTAACTAAGTGCTGGTTTAGCCCAGGTGGTACAGGGGTGCTCAGGGTCGAAAACCCTATCGTTATAAAAAATAGTGCGTAGTCTCTTAAAAGAAGAAACGCTACAGCTGGCCGCCCTCAATGCATCAGGCAGATTGTTTCATAGATACGGAATCCTATTAAAAAATGTTTCCTTAAAAAGTTCCGTCCTAAATCTATTAATTCTTAGTTTATTACTTGCATGTGATCTTAATCTCCCATCTGAACAAAATTGAAAATACGAATTAAGTGAAGAGTTAAAATACCCGCACTTCAGTTTATAAAAAGTTGAAAGATCCTTGACTTCTCTGCGGTAAACCAGTGGTAGCAGGTTGAGACGCTTTAGGCGTTCATTATAGCTAAAATCGGGTAACATAAGCCGAGTACTCAAAGTAATAAATTGAAAAGTAATAAATTGAAATACATGAGACTATATTTTAAGTAAATAAATAAAGCATTCATGATTGATTCAAAGAACGAACGAATCCATTATTGAATGGAAGATAGATGCTTTGAATACTCAACGGTTAGATTAATTACTTCCCTGTACAGAGTTGCGGTTCAAAGTTGCTCTACTTAAAAATATCTCTGGTAATATGCCCCATCAAACATACTTGGGCCTCCCTTAATTTCCATTCCCCGATCTCTTTTCTAACTCCGTAGGTGTTAAGAAAAAATATTTACCTGCATATTGGCTTACAGAGCTTCTGGCACTGCGGGACACACACGTTACCCATTTGCGGCTTCGCGTGCATTGCCTTCTTTTTATGATGGGTTTTCACCGACGGTTTTGGAGGTGGTGGTGGCTTAGGTGGGGGTGGCTTGGGTGCCTTAGGGGGTGCATTCATTCCTCCAAGATACACTGGCCGAATGCTGAGGTTTAAGGCTTGAGAACGACAACAGTCTAGGCCATGGTAAAAAAAACCGACTGTAGTTAGTAATTACAGCAAGAAATAGAACATTTGTGAGATCATAGGACACGATTCTTTCCTGACGGGATAGCCAGCGTAGAAACCGCCAGCATTTCTGATGGTATCAAACTAGTTTGGGTTCTTCTTGTGTAGTTTCAGACGTTGATTAACATTGTGATCAGTTCCCAAGTAGCTCTGCTATTTCTGACATTTCCCTGGCTTTGACGAAAAATGTATCGGCACCACCATCAGTACAAACAACAACAATAATGACGACAGCAACGACAACAACTACGACAAACCAACGATAAAGAAAACGGACAGTGACAATAGAGATATGAATACTCATTGGAATTAACCTGGCTTGCACTGGGGGGCACAAGCGGCGGAGCAACTCATAGCAGCACAGGGATCCCCGGCGGGATAGCCGGTGTATCCAACATCGTAAGGGTTAGAATACTGAGGGAACACTGGCTGGTTTGCTTGGAAGCAACATCCGGAATCACAGTTAGGATAACAAGTGGAGGGACATCCGGCGGGGCACGCTGGTGGGGGAGGAGGTGGCGGGGGAAGGGAGGCTTGGTAGTTCACCAACTGGGGGAACATGGCTGGACTGTAGTTGGGAGCCCCAGGGGCACAACAGCTTCTCTTGCAAGATGAGAGACAGAAACGCTTGCATCCAGGGTGACATTCCCAGGCGGATCCTAAATGAGGCAAAAAGAGATATGATTGAATGGATCCGAGTTGAGTTATGATTAAAAAGGCTCCACACTGAAAAATTCTAGTCAAAACAATTCATGTTATCTTGAAAAGTGACATTTTTACATTATGAAATTGTTCACGTTTATCAACACGTACTGCCTTTCCTGATGAGGGTGAAACAAGTACGGCAGTTTTCATCTTAATTGAGTTTAACATGAGGAATTACTTTAGACGCAATTATCCTTACAGATGCATTATAGCACCGCTTTTCGTGCTGCATGATAACATAAAGGATCCCATCCTTGAAGGTTGCTCCGCGTTCAGTATATTTTATCAATTAACTTATATAGAGGATATTACGTGCCGATCGCGCGGAGACACGAAATTTCTCTGCGAGTGTTGAAATATTTTTCAGTATACTAAATATTCATTATATACACACTAATGAAAAACCAAGCAGTCTCTCTTCTGCTGCGAAAGGCGTTGGGTTAGGGTCAGGAGTAACGGTGTTATTTTAACGTGTGAAGATATGATCACTTTTTCTAGCGAAAGTTCACCGGGTATTTCATTTCCGGGTGTTTGTAATATAGTGAATGGCATTTTACGAAATATCTTACTCACTTTGCACGGGATTCACAGAATGAATCACGACCGACTTCCTTCCACCATGACCTGTAAGAGAGAAATTTCATTTATCCTTCTACAGTCTCTACATGATCTTGTCTTAATGCAACTTACTTGTACCCGAACGTGATATTAAGTAAAACGTATTTCGACTGAGTATCGTAAAGCTTAAACCAATGTAATCACAGCACTCAATCGGATGAAAGGAAAATATCACAAGGGCCAGCTACAACTCAAAGTAACAACAAAAATATGTTTTGGAGAAAGGAAAAACGTGAGTGACCAAGTTGCAATTTGTTTTAGCTGTAAATTTGATTAGTTTAGCGGATGCCGCGGGCTTTCTTGAGGCGAAATAAAGCGATGCCACAGCAATCCTAGAGTTTCGACTCTTGGTTTAGAATTGCTTTTTAGAAAAAAAAAAAAAAAAAACCTTGAAAGTGCGATTCTGGCACTGCTCAAGAGGTTTAAGTACTCTCCTATTAAATTCACTCTTACCAGCGTTGTGCTTAACTGTTTTTAAGCTCTTGCAATTTACGGCAGTATAGAGCTGTGCAAGTAGGCAGAACAATAGTAAGACCTTCATTGTGGTCATAACCTGTAGTGGCCTCCTTACCTAAGAGAAATAAAACGGCGATAAGCCTTTCCGATTTCTTGCTAATTTAAATATAACAATGAGAGAGTTTTGGAGTTCCAGTTTTGTATTAAGCATGAAAAGTTTTTGTTTATTTAGATTTCAGTTGTTACATAGTCGTTGTCATCCTCTTCTTCTCGTTAGGCAACGACGAAGCGAGGAACGCGCGGGATCAACAGGTTTTTCAAGCATTGATGGGTACTCAAAGACGAAATAGCAAGGATTTTCATTTTCGCGCTGGCTTACATTACGAGATGTAGAATCCTTGGGAGGCACGAGGGATCAATCTAGGGTCTACTAAAAATGTGATGGTAATCAAATTCCTCGAGCTTGTTTTTTGACTAACCCGTGGAGCAGCAGGTTGTTCACAGAAAATAAATATTTGTGATTTGCACATGCTTGCGATCTGACTGAGATTTCTTTCCCTCTAAATCGATTAGACACCCCTACTATAACCTCTATAATAATTCTCGATAGGCCTAAGAACATAAGTATACAAGTGAATAGAAAGTCACGTTGAAATACAAGCGTTACTTGTCGTTGTCTTGAATGTCGTGGTTCAACAATAAGATAGCGATTATCAACAATTTTTCGAAACTGCGGTCTATATTAATCAATCAAATAAGCCAATGGTCTTACGGTTACCATAACATTAAAATTATATATTTCTTTGTCATTACTTTACAGTTGTCTTGTTTTAGAGAGACCACATAGTTAAAAAGTATATGGCTTGGATGGAGGTCTTGTTAATGGCCAGTAGCCCATGAGAGCGCCATTTTGTTATGGATCGAAAGTATCATATGTAGAGCAAGATTTTGCTTCATGGAAATGATTATAAATGCTCCGGAGTCTTGAAAGAGAAGCTTTTTCTCAGGTGTGTCATCATTTTAGATACGTCGCTGGTCAGAATTACAGATTAACAAGGAAATTACAGATTAACAAGGAAAAACTGAGATCTTACCGTGGCAGCCTGTCAGTTGATGCGGGATATAGTATTTTACCTGCTTACAGGTAAATAACTAACCGTATCGAACAGTGAAGGAAGCAAGGGTCTACTTAAATAGCATAAAATATTAAGCAGTTTCAACAGTGCGACAATTATTTCACTCTACTGCACACTTGTTTGTCAATTTAGAGCCTTTCTTTGACCCGTGTTTTTCCTCTCCTTGTAGCCAACAGTAGATCGTCTGAAAGGACGAAACAAGGTAAATGTAATCTACCGCAGATAAAGACGATAGCGGCAGTGAGATTAACCTGTTAGTTTTCTCGGTGCTTTAGACAAAAACAGTCAACAAATTTCACGCATTACCTCACACGGAAAGCATTCGTCGTAGCACAACGAAAAAAGAAGAGCGAATAACGCGATATTTTTCTTCAAATAAAGAGAATGTGTTTGTTTTTTTTTTTGTGTGTGGACTAATATGATTTTGCCTCTACATGCTGACTGACGAACTGTAATGTTAAGACGTGGATCTGTAGTCAAAGAGCCCAGCCAGCGGCAACTATGCAAAGTTGGCTTGATTGAGAGGGAAACTGGAACAACAAGAATGCATGCAAATAATATTTAACAGACATGAACAAACCTTTTCCCCGCGTTTTTTCTGTTTCGTTTTAGTTTGTTTGTGCGTTTTTTTGTTTGTTCTTTTGCTTAAAACTTCTACTTTTCTGTCAAATGAGGCTGGAAATTTTTAATTAGTTGCTCAGTCACGAATTTCATTTGATCAGTTTTTAAAGGGTGGGCCTGACAGAGCACAGAAGGTTTTCTTAAAAAGTGCTCAAAATATTTTGAATATGTTTCGTGACTTATGGGGACTGACTTTACCCTTGTTGAAATCAAAAAATCCACTTTTTGTTGTGTATCATTCATGATTAACGAGCTATGCTAGGGGCCATTTGAGGTCAGTTAAATTGTATCACTCTCCAGGTCTTGAGCGTTTGTTCCAACACAGACTGGAAGACTGTACAGTATCAATAACCTGAGCAATGTTACTTTGATTGAATCAGTTTATTTCGATATTTTTGTGCAGAAAATTAGTTTTACTTAATACAACGTTTTATCTATTTATAATGAAATGAAATGATGAAATTTCCGTAACGTAAGGAAGACGAAAATGTCTTATTAGACCATAAGTATTTTCAGGTCCACTCTATCTGATGAGATGTCGTTTCTGTAGGAGACCTGCCCTTGCACCAGGTTGAGATCACCGGAAACTCTTCCTCCCAGCATTTTATGCTGAGAAAGTAACTTCCGCTATTCCTTTTGCCATTCGATGAACTTTCGCAGCGGTGAAGCAAGATCTCAAACCCTCTTCTAAGTCTCACCAAAGAGTACTTTTATAACTACTTTTAAGCTAATAGTCATATCTAACAGCTTTGACGCAGCCAAGTTTCTTGCCTGGCTATCACTTTCACTGAGCATACAACACTCTCAAAATAGCTTGCTATATCTTGCACAAAATTTAATGTTTTTTCGGGGACACACAACAACTAAACTTGCAAGATGGCAAGCAAGCTTTCCGGCATTTTGGTTCACAGACTTTCCCCTTTTTGTTTGGATGTTTCTTGGAGATCTTGCTCTTCTTCTTCAATTTTTTCAAAGCAAGTTGCTTTTCGATCATTTTTACAGTTTTCTTTGGTACAACGAAGGGTGTGGTCAGGCAACAGAGCAGGTTACAGGTCGGAAAGCATCGGTGCTGACAAACAGGCTGACACGAACCCCATAACGACTGCCCTGGGTAAAATAAATCAAGGAAATGAAAATGGGAAATATGTAACTTGAATAACTTGCTCTAGAACAGCCATTAAGATACCATAAGGGATCATTATTTATCGCCTGGAAATTGGGGAAATCGGAGGATTTCGGTTGTGTCCCATCAAAATTTATCTGATCCCACAAAGACTCCTAGATTAACAAGGATGGAGTTCGTTACGAATAATGCACACGACAAACACCAAACAAACAAGACTGTAATTATTTATGTAAATGGATCACGTTTTATCAACTACTGTTCTAAATTTGTGTAGTCCTAGGCTATCAAGGGTGGGGTTCGTTAAGAATTGCAAATGACAAACACCAAACTGAACTGTTAGTAATCATTTGTACAAATGGATCTCGTCAGTTTTATCAATTACTGTACTAACTTTTGTAGTCCTAGGCTAACAAGGGTGGAGTTTGTTACGAATTGCAAATGACAAACACCAAACTGAAACTGAACTGTAATCATTTGTACGAATGGATCTCGACAGTTTGATTAATTACTGTACTAACTTTTGTTCCTTTCGTATGACGAATACAAGAGCTGTGCAGAGTCTTTGTCAGACAGCCGATTAACATCAACTGCATAAAGAAAAGAACATACGTTGGTTGGGGTAAAATTTAGCGATGATTTCATCAAACTCATCTTGCTAGTTTTCATCCTGTCTCCCAACCAATACATCTAAATCCGTCATCCGAAAGTTGCAATTGTTCACTTACATTTGTAGGCTTTAATGGACCTTTCTAGATTAGCTTTTGATTCCCGTTTGACGGCGTCCACCAAGTCTGTAGAATGCAATACGAAGAGATTGATATTTATCTTAATAAATTTTGTGAGAGAGAGCAAGAAGGTCTTTCCTAAGATATCACACTTATTTCGGTTCAGGTTTGTAGTGACTTTTACAAGGGGGTAGACCGGGGGGGGTCGTTAGGTGCATGTGACCGACTCCTACTTGTTATCTAAAGTGATTGGGTATCATAGCAAGAGAAGCCGGCAGGTTCCCGAATTCAAGCAAGACACTAGCGCTAGACCTCCCTTGGATTAATGTGCCTAAGTAACTAACGTCTCTGCAGGCAAGATACACCTCATTTGTCTTACCTTGAAGTTTCTTATGCACCTGCAGTTTCTTTCCTTTGTTATTTGTTGAGGTGTACGCCATGTATGTTAGTTTGAATTGTTTTTCGAGCTTCTTGATGGCCTCGGCGGTTTTGTGTTTTATAATTTTCTCCAAAACTATGAAACAAACAGGTGAATCGAAGCGATTTTGTTTTAAGGTTAGAGAGTTCAGGCGGAGGCTCTCTTAGATCAAATAAAATTTTCCTTTGAGACAGTAGTAAAACACTAACATTGCTTTTTATGGTAATTTGATGCCACTAACCTGACTCAATTGCACTTAATTCTAAAGATAGACGTCTAGGACGGGGTAATTAAACAAAAAATACGTCGAGCCTGATGTCTTTGATTATCGAACACAGTGTCGATTTCGGTCCATTAATTTTATTCGTGTTCTTTTATTATCAAAATTTCAACGCACAAAACTCCAAATTATGTTATATTTTCAACTTGCGGTTTTCACCAACATCACAAGACCCTCCTTAACCACGCCCTTGCAAACTAAACTGGCTGTGAAACTTGTCGTAATCATCAAGAGAATATATATAGATACTTGAAGAAATTCGTCGAGCAGAAATTAGCCTTTTTTTCCCACCGCGTCTCTTCTCCCCTTTGACCCCAGAGGGGGTGTAGGTTTTGATATATGTCTGGAGTTCATTCATTGTAGCAATCAATGGATGATTATTAGTAAAAAGAGTCGTAAATGGATTGTTACCTTTCTTATCTATGACGGTTTTCCCATTTACATGTGCGCTTGCCTTGGATTCTAATGAGATAGCTTCCGAAAAGTTCAGTACCAATAGCGCCGTTAAACATATTCTTGCGATTGATGGTCTGTTCATTCTAAACACAATACAGGAAATTGATGCATATACATATTAACACGGTAAGCACAAGAAATTATTAAAAGGTCACAAAAAAATTAGAGGTGATAGAGTTGTATCCAGTGTTATTTTCTGCCATGTGATTCTTCCGTTTACTGTCAACCGCCAATTTCCTTGTTAGAAAGCGAATTTCTGACAACAAATCAGACCTTATATAATATGTATAATCAACTATTAAAGAGAAAAGACTTGATCGCAGAAGATAAATTCAGTTTCAGACAGCGAGGTATAACCTAAGTGTACACAGATGGCATCTTCTTTCGGAAATGACTCCAATGAAAGGGCGACAATCTCATGATCTTTATCATATATTTTCTAAGTTTAATCAGCTATCCAAAGTTTCAATACGTACCTACCACTCTCTCATTCATTAGATAACGATAGCTGTGAGAGTATGTGATAATAGTTCATTTGCCTACCTTGACCAGTGATCAGATCCGAAATTTTGAATGAGTGCACTTTCCCTGTCTTGGAGATTTGGTTCTTCAAAACGTTTGATGTTTGTACGTAAAAAGTCACAGAGATTTGTTTACGAAATACACCTGTTAGATGGTGTTCCCGAAACATTTAAAACACTATAAATAAGTGACGCGATTTCATTGCCTGAGAATAAACAGAAAGAAATGATTCTGTTTTTCTGAGAGAAATTATCCTTTAAATTTGACAATAATGTTTTTCGCAAATCCACACAGTCGCCATCCTGGCACCAGGAATTGACATGGGATGAACATTTCACAGCAGCAAAGACACCCTTTGGGACACACAATGAGCCGATGACTGGTAAATCAAAAACTTTGACAGGTCGTCTCACAAACAAGTGGTGTTCATGAGCCGGTATCAAAAATGGACAGCGGCTTTGAATTTCAATTACGTGATCATGCATTCGTCAAAACATTTGCTGTTTGTTTCACTTGTATTTGTAAGATGGATCAAGACTAGAAGGCCGTTTGCAAAGCAGAAAATCGGACCAGTCATGAAATAAGCTCGGATCCTAAATTTTTGTCAGTGTAACTATGCGTATTGTGTTTTTTAAAAGATAGGTGAAGACCCTCTTTTTTTTTTTCAGGTTTTATTGACTATACAGTCGTCAATAGCCCTAAAATTTACAAAACACCCGAGTACGAAACTCTTTCTTCATTCTTAGGTCAGATTGCGTAGAAATATTCTTTCGAGACCTGCATGCGCAGTACAAACCGTTTCCTTCAAAAATATCCTTGATTTTTTGTGTGGCGGGTCCACAAAGCTTTCAGGGAAGACAGAGAAGCCGAGATATAATTAGATAGATAGGTTTTCTCAACANACATATGTTTCATATGTTTGTTGTTGTTTGATTTATCATCTACGGGTTTATGTCGAATTAATTTGATGGCCTGCTCCCAGTTGGCTTGTTAGCTCAATTGGTAGAGCGCTGCACTAGTATCGCAGAGGTCAGTGGTTCGAATCCCGTACAGGCCTGAAATTTTTTTCAGGTCTGATTTTCACTATTGCTCAAATAGTGCTTTACTGCGAAGGATCGTGCACATATACGTTTCATAACCGCAGTTCATACATATGTTTCATATGTTTGTTGTTGTTTGATTTATCATCTACGGGTTTATGTCGAATTAATTTGATGGCCTGCTCCCAGTTGGCTTGTTAGCTCAATTGGTAGAGCGCTGCACTAGTATCGCAGAGGTCAGTGGTTCGAATCCCGTACAGGCCTGAATTTTTTTCAGGTCTGATTTTCACTATTGCTTAAATAGTGCTTTACTGCGAAGGATCGTGCACATATACGTTTCATAACCGCAGTTCATATATATGTATTTCATATGTTTGTTGTTTGATTTATCATCTACGGGTTTATGTCGAATTAATTTGATGGCCTGCTCCCAGTTGGCTTGTTAGCTCAATTGGTAGAGCGCTGCACTAGTATCGCAGAGGTCAGTGGTTCGAATCCCGTACAGGCCTGAATTTTTTTCAGGTCTGATTTTCACTATTGCTTAAATAGTGCTTTACTGCGAAGGATCGTGCACATATACGTTTCATAACCGCAGTTCATATATATGTATTTCATATGTTTGTTGTTTGATTTATCATCTACGGGTTTATGTCGAATTAATTTGATGGCCTGCTCCCAGTTGGCTTGTTAGCTCAATTGGTAGAGCGCTGCACTAGTATCGCAGAGGTCAGTGGTTCGAATCCCGTACAGGCCTGAATTTTTTTCAGGTCTGATTTTCACTATTGCTTAAATAGTGCTTTACTGCGAAGGATCGTGCACATATACGGAATTACCATTGTTCTTTCTTTCTTTAGGGGTCACTGGTTAGCTATTGTGTATTGTTTGGTCTTTTGTATCGGCTCTTGTGAACCGGTACAACTAAGCCTACGCATAATGTATGACGGTCTGATCTGTCGTGGTAAATATTATTTTTGAGTATAATTTCAGAGCTGAGCAAAGAGTTTCCAGCAATCTGATTGGTCGACCGGTTCCTTATATGACGCTATATAAACCGCTCCACGCGGTCGTCTCGGGAATTATTCAACGATATTCACCTCGCCTTCGGCGAATAATTGTTAAATGTTGTGTGTAATAGCACCTATTGCGAAAAAGGAGTTTCAGGAGAACAAATTTGAGGTTAAAAACCATTAGCGGCGACTATAGAAAAAGCACCGAAATAATGAGAGAGAGAGAAGAGTTGCCTTCCGGCTATGAATTTAAAAAATGCTAATTGAGGTAGCTAGCAGAGTAATTGTAATTGTAAATAGTCTCAGATATGATAAAAAAGGATTGGGACTGTTTGGTGTGTGTTTGTAATCAACACATTGAAAATCTCTGTCGCAATCAGGTAAGTTTCGAAGTTGTACAGGCTCTCTAGTACTATAGCTGTGGTGTGGGTATACGGGATGAACTTATTTGGTAGCATTATCAAAGTAAATTTTGAGTAAATCTGTTAAGCACTCAGTTACACGGAGTTTGTGTTGCTACAAAGAAATCAAAGCAAGAAAGCTATCAAAGTCAAATTAAATGTCAGCAGAACAAGAACTGCTCGGTTCATACCACAAAAGACATTTTTCAACTGTTATATGATCTTCACACTAACTTGTCTATTTGCATGAAATTCAGACTTAATCTACGAGTACATCTATTCTTTGTTGTTATTTCGTAACAGCAGAGATGTAAGAATATGCAGGAGAAAAACAATTACATTTACAATCTAATGATGTTTGGGATTTCTCTAGAAAAAAAAACACAACTTGGTGCAGTTTTGCGTTTCTCTATTTCCAGTATGAGTTTTTACTGACGATTGCGGAATCTAAGGATCGAGAATTGCTTATAAGCGACCATTCTTGCGAATACGTTATATTTTATCCAAAGATAACATTTGCAGCACTTCTTTCCAAATCCAAATTAAACAAAAAACGGTCAAACTTTGTTTTTTCGTTGGAGAAAATTTCCAAAATGAGTGGTGAGAACGAAGCACATCCACTGTGAACCAGGCATTTAAGCTTGTTCATTCGTATGATGCACACAAATGCACACAAATGCAAATACATGAATTTTGTTGTGTTATTTTTAGAGTTTCATTCGCTAATCTGAAGTCCATTATCTGGTCAATGATTTATAAATCTTGTTTGTTCATCTACAATACGCACGTTTGGATTCTTTGGAGATGATGGACTCTTGTTCATAGGCTTGTAAAAGCGAAGGAATTAAAAACCTCATGGGTAATTATGGTT